TTCTTTTTGTGTTTCTCTCTCTCTCTTTCTCTCTCTCTCTCTGCTTTTCAAGACAGAGTTTCTCGGTATAGCTCTGGCTGCTCTGGAACTATCTCTGTAGACCAGGCTGGCCTCAAATGCACAGAGATCCACCTGCCTCTTCTTCCTGAGTGCTGGGATTAAAGGCGTGCGCCACTATTGCCCGCTCTTTCTGTTCTCTTAAAGAGGGTGTCAGTCTTATGTATGGACTTGGCAATTTTCGCTGATGGTTTCCTTAGGTACAAAGGGGTCCTTGAGGAAAACCCGAATATGTTTAAGATTTAACCAAATAAAATTATTCTGAAAAAAATTAGATGAAATATATCTTTTATTTATTCTTTGACAATTTCATATGAATGTAAATAATGTATTTTCATAATTTCTATCCTAACTCTTCCCCTCTCACTCTTCCTAGGCACCTAACATGTCCCCACCTCAACTTCATGTGTCCACCTCCCACCCCCATTTTTTTATAATCCATTTAGTCCAATTAATGCTGCCTGTTGGAATGTTGACTGGTCTTGTTGACTTGACCCTGTGCGGATAACTAAAGGTTCAGTGAGTGCATGAGTATACTGGCCATGTCTTCCAGAAGATGGCTGTTCTACTCCCTTTTCTACAATGTTCCTTAAGCCTTGATACACGTGGAGCTTTAATAGATATGCTATGTCGGGCCCAGTCACATATCTCAGCATTTTGACCAGCTATGAGTTGCTTAGTTAATTACTGGCCACTACAGGGAGAAGCTTGTTTGGCTAAGGCTGAGGTCAGCAGTTTGACCACATGGTTAGTTAGCAAGGCAGCAGTAGGTGTTTCCCTTCTACGGCCTGTGACCTCTCAGGCTTTGGCTTTTGGTCAGGTTTACAGTACCAGCTATAAATTCCCTCAAATGAAAATTTTCCAGATAATACTTAGACTTTGAATATTTTGCTTTCTTCCTATAATAAAATCGGTTCTATCTTTCTACAATGTTCCAGATAATACTTAGACTTTGAATATTTTGCTTTCTTCCTATAATAAAACCGGTTCTATCTTTCTACAATGTCTGGGGGCTGGAGTAGAGCTCAGTTGGTAGAGTGCCTACCCACCACATAGGAAGCCCTGGGTCTAGTCTTCAGCACTGTGTAAGGAAAGCATGGTGATGCATGTCTGTTATGTAGCATTCGGCTAGAGGCAGGAGGATCAGGAATTCAAGGTTCTTCTTGACAACACAGCAAGTTTGAGGCCAGACTGGGATACATGAAATCCTATCTCAGAGCAGGAGTGTATACACGTAGAGGAGCTGTGGTTAAAACAAAACAAAACAAAACAAAAACTACATGTAATTTATGTAGTGTATGAGCCAGAGAGATGGCCCAGTAGGTGAAAGAAAGTCCAAATTCTGTCTGGAGTCTACCACAAGCTTAAGTGCCGCCAGCATTTGCATCCCAGCGCTCCTACAGCGAGATGGAGAACTGAGTGGACCAGTTACCTGGAGTGTGCAGCACAGCAGCCGAAACTAGAGTTTGCCTCACAATAACGAGGAAGGAACCAACTCCTGAAGAGTCCTCTGACCCTGTCATACAAATACCAGGCTCTCTCTTCCCGTTCTCTCTCTCCCTCTGGTCCTTTCCTCTCTTCAGTCTTTTTCTCACTGTTACTTGTGACTTTGCTGTTGTGTATTCCAATCTAAACCTTGAAATCTTATGAACCAGCTTTTTGAAGATGCTTCCCTGAAGCGACTGCTCGCATCCCAGCATGTGTAAGTCAGGGCAGTAAGAGGGCTGTTCCGGACAGCAGGATGGGAGCCAGGCATGGTTTCCACCTAGAATACACTCCCTGCGTTTGTGGGAGAGATGAAACTGCGGACTCCTCTTGATCTGGGCTTGGGTAAGGAGTGGATGGACTTACGTAGTTTACTCAAATTGCAAATGAGATGCTAAAAGGCTCAGATTTCTCAGAGCTCAAGTGACTAAAGTATTATGTGACTTACCTGAAAATAAAGTTTAGGGTTTTGTTTTGTTTTATTTTTTTCTGCTGGGGGTAGGAAGTGGGGTGGAATTTGTTTCAAGACAGGGTTTCTTTGTATAACCCTGACTGTCTTGGAACTCACTGTATAGACCAGGCTGGTCTCCAGCTCAGAGAACCGACTGCCTCTGCCTCTTGAATGCTGGGTTTAAAGATGTGCACCATCACTGCCTGGCAAGTTTAGTTTTTTGCTGGCAAGAAAGTGAGAACCTTTGTGCTTTTTTTTTTAAGGTTTATTTATTTTGTATACAGTATTCTGCCTGTATGTATGCCTGCACACCAGAAGAGGGTACCAGATCTCACTTGTAGATGGTTGTGAGTCACCATATGGTTACTGGGAATTGAACTCAGGACCTCTGGAAGAGCAGCCAATGCTCTTAACCTCTGAGTCATCTCTCTAGCCTGAACTTTGTGCTTTGTTAAAAAAGGAAAAATGAAAAAACAAAAACATAGTACAAACATGTATCAGTGCTGATAGAAGACAGGTACTAGATAGATAAATAGGCTAGCTTTCTCTGACTTTTCGTGTCTAGAGAAGGCTGTTAAAGAGGGGGATATCTCAGGATTTCATTTTAAAATACATTTTGTCAAATATAGATACCTTCACAGCAGGAAAGACGGCTTAGTGTGTGTACCTTTGGGCCTGGCAGCGCGCGCGTGCATGCGCGCGCGCACACACACACACACACACACAGTAAAATGTAAAAAGAAGAAAGTTGCTTCCAGCCCAGAATAATAATACAAGCCTGTAAACAGGCACCTGGGAGGTAGAAGGAGGTTCAGGAGTTCAAGGCTAGTATTGGCTACATAGCAAGTAGCAAGTCTGAGGGCACATGACTACATAAGAGAGACCCTGTCAAAAACTAAAACCAAAACAAAACAGAAACAACAAACTTAAGTTTCAAATAAATATTCAGTCTGGCAGTTGTTAAGGACTTAAACCTGAACAGATACCGGATGAATTCTTTTAGAGCTTTGTAAGATATATTCTGTAAGTTAACTCTGCAGGAAGGCTTGTTTGTAGATCTCTGAAGGTAACAGGCACTGTGTACTTATGAACACAGTTGATGACTGGCCAGAGTCCCCACTCACACCTTTGTGACAGTTTCAGAGAGATGAGGAGCACCGGTACACTGGATAGAAATATATGCTCAGGAGAGAGAAAACAAAAGCAGAAACTACAGAATAGGAAAAAGGCCCATGGAGGATTTATTTCAAAACCAAAGGGCTTTCTGGAAAGTTCCGTACAAATTTGGGAATATCAGTTGCGATGACGTCTGTTGTGTGTGACAGACCGTCACACACACAGATGTGTAGGCAAGCAGGTTAATTCCTCCTCACACGGGCAGCTAGGGTCAGGCTTCCCGTTTGTTACTGCTTCTGTTTTTAGACAGGGTCTCTCTACATAGCCCTGGCTGTGAACTCACTCTGTAGACTAGACTGCCTGCCTGCTGAGTGCTGGGATGAAAGGTGTGTGCCACCACACTCTCTCTCTTTTGGCATCTATCTTCGAGTTTGCCTAAGGCAGCTACATGCAGCTGCTACTTTGTCATGTCTGTATGTAGAAGGAAGATGGGCAAGGCCCAAAGGCATGCTTCCTGCTAGAACCCATCAGTTCTGTTTTTCATTTTCTCTTGCCTTACCCCAATTTCTCCAAAATATAAAAGCTAAATATTGGATTGGCGAGCCTTATTATCTGCCATACCAAGTGATCATAATTGTGTGTGTTATGTGTGTGCATACATGTGGCATAGAATTGCGTGTGCAAGGTCACACACATGCAGAACCAGAGCAGGACTTTCACTATTGCTCTTCACCGTATTGCCTTGAGACAGGATCTCTCGCTGAACTCGAAGTTTCCTGAGCCAGGGGGCTCCTGTGGCCATTTCTGGATCTCTATGCAGCTGCTAGGAATGGACTCGGATCCCATGCTTGTGCCCTCTTACCCAGTGAGCACATGCCTATATTCCTCATGGTATCACCACAGTGTAACCTGACTGAGCCTTTGGGATATCTGCAGAGTCCTGGAAAATGACAGAAATGTTTGGTGACTTTGGCTATCAGTTTGCAGAATGATTTCTTGGTTCAACAACTGATTGTATTGTGGATTTACTGTGCTAGATATTGGCATTCTGATAGTGAGTAAGTAATATGGCCTCTTCCTTCAAAGGATTTATAGGCTAACAGGGAACAGCATCTTCTTTTCCCTTTTCTTCCCCCTTCTATTTCTTCCTCTCCTCTTCTTTCCTGTCTTCTCTTCATTTTTTCTCACTTCTCTTTTCTTTTTTTTCCCTCTCCCTCTCTTTCCTTCTCTTTCTTCTGAGATAGGGTTTCCCAGGTTCCGGTACAGGTTGGCCTGGAACTCACTGTGTGTCCCAGGTGGCATATGCCACTACATATGTCTAAACAATATGGGTTTCAGATAAGTCATCTATGAATGTTTTGAATGCAGATAAGGAGAGACAGAGTGCCAGGGACCCTGTAACTTACAGGAGAGACTGTAAGGTATGACGACATGCTTTACAACTAACATCTAAAGGCTGCTGGCACTAGCCTGGCTGGCAGGTGGGGATGGAGATGTGAGTGGAAGGCAAGAGGGAGAATACAGGATTACCCCCTGACTGAGAGTTGCCCTAAGAACTCATTTGTCTTACACTATTGCCCCCTTTTCATGGGGAAGCAATAGGACTTTATAAGCATCAAAGGAAGGCAGGTCCTGTTCTTTTCACTGAAATGGCTGAAGGGACTGCCATCCTTTCTACTTATATTTTCTCTGTCTAGATGAATGCTTGTTTTTGCAGGTCACAGAAGGGGGTATTAGGAACCAAGGAAGTAGGTGGACAAGTGACTGGGGTAAAATGAAGTCCAGTTGCTCCGTTATTCGTCCGGATTTTGGTCTTAGTGTAGATTAGACTCAAGGGAGGCAAGGATTGGTTCCCACCCTGAGGTACTGATCTGACCCCTTCTCCTTCTAGGAAGTGGATATTGTGGTGGCCCCGTGCCACAGCCACCGGCCTGCGGTAGATGTTCTGGGTGACTTGGCGAATGATTTCTTGCCTGTGATAACCTACGCACTTCACAAAGATGAACTCTCTGAGAGGGACGAGCAAGAGCTTCAGGAAATCAGAAAGTATTTCTCCTTTCCTGTGTTCTTTTTCAAAGCACCCAAGCTGGAGATTATGGACTCCCCCAGCGGGCGAGCAGAGAGTGAACGGTCACCACTGTATCGACAGCTGTTGGACCTGGGCTATCTGAGCGGCAGTCACAGGAACTGTGGAGCCCCTGACGAGGACAGCAAAGCTCAGAGCGTGTTGGTGGAGCAAAGTGAGAAGCTGAGACAATTGAGTACATTTTCTCACCAGCTGCTACAGGCCCGCTTAGTGGATGCAGCCAAGGCCCTGAACGTGGTGCACTGCCGCTGTCTTGACATCTTTATTAACCAGGCTTTTGACATGCAACGGGACCTACAGATCACTCCTAAACGTCTAGAATATACTAGAAAAAAGGAGAATGAATTGTATGAATCGTTGATGAATATTGCCAACCGAAAGCAGGAGGAAATGAAGGACATGATTGTTGAGACACTTAACACCATGAAAGAGGAACTTCTGGATGATGCTGCCAACATGGAGTTTAAAGGTAGGTTCAAGAGCTTAGAGGGGTGCTGGGACTGCAGAGGCCTCTGATTCTATTTATTTATTTATTTATTTATTTATGTTTTAAATAACTGCATCTTTTAATGGCAGTAATACATTTACTGGGTTTCAGGATTAAGAGACCACATGAGGGAAGGCAGGTGAGGTTTCTGAAAAACAGATACTGAGTACAAAAGGGGGTGGGGGAGCCATGCCACAATCATTGTAAAAATACAGTACGTTATATACATATTTGTACCATCGACTTTCAACTCGGAAATGCTATTTACACTTTTGTTACACTCCTGTTTAGAGAACAAGTTTTCTCTAAAAGTGTGGCCTGCTGGTGAGTGGGATTCAGGCAGTTTCCTTGTCCCATTGAGGGTCTTCGTCTGACTATTCCAAGAGGAGGAATAGTTCGTCTCACCACAGATTTCAGATTTAAAAATTCATTTAATTTCTTTAACAAAAGAAAAACTTTCTTTTTCAAATGTAGATCAGGCTGGCTTTAAACTCATGATCCTCCTGCCTCTGCCTCCTGAGTGCTGGGATGACAGGTAGGCACTACCACGCCTGGCTTTTACAAAAGAGAACTTTCAGAGGGGTGGGGTGGGATCCAGACACTGCACACTGCACTCTTCCTATCCTACACTTACCATGGCCCCAGTCTAGGAGACCAAGGCTGGAGTACAAAGACAAATCTCATTGACGACTGTTTAAGAAAACAAAACAAAATTAAAAAAAAAAAAAACACAAAGACAAACAAAACCAATCTGATCTTGGTGTACTGACTCCACAGGGTGTTATCCCAATGGGGCACAAGTCCCTCCCACCCTGGCTTCAGGCCCTAAACTGTTTTGAAGGAATTTCTTTTTGGGTTGTGGATGGTATGGGGGGGGGGTGACAGCTGGGTATGTGGGAGCCTGTCTCCCTCTGAGGTGTGTCAGGTGTGTCAGGTCTCCTTATCAAAAGGAAGCAGCTGGGCCAAGAGACCCAGTATAGAAAAGGCAGGCTACAAGAAAGCAGACCTCTAGGGCTTGGCCAGTGACCCAGAGGCAGAATGGCCTGCAGCAGGTCTCACCCAATTCCCTGATCCATTCTTGGGGATGTGGTCACAGGAAGTCAACCCAGGGGCTCTGGACAAGGCCAGACCTAGGGTGGCTAGTGGGGGAAGCTGTGGCACTGCCTCCGCCAACTGGGATCTGGCAGATGCCTTAGGCCTCCTCATCCCAAGGTTCCTTTCCTGGAAAGGACCAACACACCACTTTGATCCCAGACTCTACTGTTTCCTCATGCCCCCTATTGGAAAGCACCCACTAATCCAACACCGCAACAGACAGCTGATGCCCTGCTTCTGTTGGCTTGGGAGGGAAAAGCCAACAGAAAAGTACTCTCCAGGGGCAGGGCTCTCCAAGCGCATGAAAGCAGCTAGCAGACATACTTTGCCAGGGCCACCCTTGGCCTCCCTCCTCGGGAGTCTGGCAGATGGCCACACCACAGATCCTGGATCTGTCTTGTGGGTCAGGCCAGTGACACTGGGCAGGTAATATTGAGGGAGAATGCTTTGAGGGACTGCCTCACCCCTCCCAGGCCTACAGGCTGCAGGTCTGTCTCACCCAGAGTCTTCTGGAGGACTAGAGGGTATCACTTTCAGGACAAACCCTGGACAGAGGATGTGGGATGCACAGGCCTGAGCAGGTCAGGGCCAGGACCTTTCTCTCCTTTGGACATTTTCTCACTTCACTTTTGCTTTGTCCTGAAGCAGGCTGTCATAGGCTGAAGAGAGAAGGCCTCTGATTCTTTGAGCTAGAAATTGAATACCCTGATTCTTTTTAAATTACTTTATTTATTTATGTACATCAGTATTTTGTCTGCATGTATGTCTGTATGAGGGTATCAGATCCTCTGGAACTGGAGTTATATATTATTGTGAGCTGCCATGCTAGGAATTGAACCAGGGTCCTCTGGAAGAGCAGCCAGTGCTCTTAACCTTTGAGCCATCTCTCCAGCTCCCATGTCTTGATTCTTAAGGTCCAGCAAGAGGACACCTGTCTTAGTTAGGGTTTCTATTGCTGTGAAGAGACACCATGACCATGGCAACTCTTAGAAAGGAAAACATTTAATAGGGGCTGACTTACTGTTTCAGAGGTTTAGTCCATTATTGTCATGGTGGGACATGGTGGCATGCAGGCAGACATGGTGCTGGAGGAGCTTAGAGTTCTGTGTCTTGATTTGCAAGCAGCAGGAGTGTCTGTTCACACTGGGCATAGCTTGAACATATGAGACCTCAAAGCCTACTCCACAGTGACACACTTCCTCCAAGAAGGCCACACCTCCTAATAGTGCCACTCCCTAGGAGCATATGGGGACCAATTACATTCAGACTACCACAGAGCAAAGGTCAAAGTACAGCATAGTAAAATTCTTCAAGCAGTTCTTCTCAGGAGTACAGGGATGCAGACAGAAGGTGGGGATTAGACAACGCAAAGGATGAATTTAGGAAAAGGTAAGCTTGTGGCTTAGGAAGGAATCAAAGCGAATCTTAAGTCCATGAGAGCAAAAGAGGCTACCTCATCTAAATAATTAAGGTGTTGTGTTGCTTTTTGTCCCATGATCTTATTTTAGCTTTAGGCTGCTCCTGAAATTCAGGAAAATTTCCAAGAGCATGTTTAGCTTTCCTAGCAATCTCTCATTCATCACGAATAACAAAGTGGGGGAAGCCATCAGTCAGGGCTTTTGGTGTCTGAATTCTCGATGCTGTTTGACTCTCCATGCATGAGCATTAGCTCTACCGCACAGTAGCTAAAACGACACTGTTTTCAGTCACTCCTGACGTTTTCAGTTACGAGTACGTATGCACATCAGGAGTGCTCAGACCGTGAAAGCCACTTTAGACTTTGTCAGTGCTGTGTGTGTTAGAATCTTCACTAGATAGATGCTGCTTATTTTCATTGTTTATTGGCTTCCTGTTCCACAGACCAGTACCAAGAACCCCAATCTAGTCTGAGATCTCCCAAAGCTTTATCAACTGTGCCAACCATACTTTCCGTTCTTACCTTCCTGTAGTTTTAACTGGGTTGGTCTTAACTGCTTGATGCCCTCCATACAGTCCCTAAACCTTTTCTTTGCGTGTGTCCTGCCTCAAATCCGAAATATTTTTTATTTTTCTGTGAAATTTTCCAAGTCCAACCACCCTTTAAATGCCACATTTTGTAAGGTCATTAGTTCTGCCATCTGCTGCCAGCTGCACTCATTTGTGCCCCCCTACATTTCACTGTAACGTCTGTCATCTTTTGCTTTCTTTTAGTATATACTTCTGTGTACTGAAATGCCAGAGTTGAAGAATATGAACTTGGAGTTATTCATCATCTTATACCTTGCATCAAAAACAAAGAATCTCCTATTTTTCCTTCCTTCCTCTCTTCTCTCTTTTTTCAGTAAAAATGAATAGAGTTGTATCTTTCGTGGCTGAGAAATGTTCATTTCAGTGGAAGTTCTAGAGTCCTCTGAACACTTCACTAAGTACCCTGGATCATCAGTGCTGGCATGGTACCCACAAGATGACAGCCGGCCAGAGAAGCAGGGTTAGGTGACAGTGTAATGTTGGGTTGTTCTGTGGAAGGTATACCACGGTTAGTGCCTTTGGTACAATGTTTAGTGCCTTTGATGCAATGTTTAGCTTAAACAGATGTTGGAATAACTGGAGCTAGTAGACCAAATGTCTGACTCTGCTTACTTGTAGGTCTGTGGATCCACGTACTTAAATAGCTACATATTGGGTGCAATTTCATATCTCGTTCTTGTGTTGTTTTGAGTCCTTCCTGAGTACGTTTGAAGCAATAACAAATTGATTTAAGAGCAAGCTTGCACATAGTCTGGTAGGACCAGATTTCTGTTGCTATTTGTCTTTAAATAAAAGTCAGTCATGTATGCTGGGTAACAGGATGTACATACTTTAGGAAATATTTATGTTTTAATCTAGGTGTGGTGGCATATGCCTGTACTCCTAGCTCCCAGGGAAGAGGCAGAAGAGTCGTAGGTGTGAGGTCAGCCTGGGCTATGTATGGAGTTACATGTCAAAATTTTTTTCTTGTTTTATGTAAGGACTGAGAGATCAGCTCCCAGTCCCTACCCAGGGTTTCAAAGGAGAAATGTTTCTCAGGAGTGGGGAAAATGAAAGATTTCTATACTAACTTCATTCACTTGATCTGAGGGTCATTTTCTTTCTTTTTCTTTCTTTTTTTTTTTTTCTTTTTGGTTTTTCGAGACAGGGTTTCTCTGTGGCTTTGGAGCCTGTCCTGGAACTAGCTCTGTAGACCAGGCTGGTCTCGAACTCACAGAGATCCGCCTGCCTCTGCCTCCCGAGTGCTGGGATTAAATGAGGGTCATTTTCTTTATTTCTTCTTTAATTCTAATTCTCTTGTCCTAATTGTCTATAATTTCTTATTTCTAATTTTCTGTTCCAATTCTTTATTCTTTTACATCCTTATTCTTATTCCTATACATTCTACATTCTCATTACTTCTCTGTTACAAATTCCCAAGCATATGTATATATACATATACATATACATATACATATACATATACATATATATATGTATCCAAGGATAGAGAACAGACCTTTAAGTGTTTTATAGTCCACCTGTAACAATAGATACAGTTATAAAACATATTTTAGTATGTTTCTGTTCATCAGAATTATACAGATGAATGAGAAGTCATCTTCCTGACCATCCACAAATGCGTGTGCCCATAAGATTGAGATGTAATCATGAGATTATATGTATACATTTCATGAAAATGCATGGTGATGGGGAGATACCATAGCTGTTATTGCACAAGTGAAACCACAGATGACAGCAACAGTTTTCAGAGAACCATTTGTCTGGTGGGTTGGCATCTGAACTATCAATTGCTATAAGCTGTAATTGTGTCATGACCTGTAATAGCTTGTGACAATTGCTCTGACAGTTAGCTGGGCAGTGGTGGCACGTGCCTTTAATCACAGCACTCGGGAGGCAGAGGCAGGTGGATCTCTGTTAGTTCGAAGTAAGCCTGGTCTACAGAGCTAGTTCCAGGACAGGCTCCAAAGCTACAGAGAAACCCTGTCTTGAAAAATAAAAAAAAAAAAAAAGATCCTGGATTTGAAACAAGTGAGGTTTATGCTCAAATTCTAGCTGTATTGCTTCTTGACTGCACATCTTCTTTCCCAATGCCTACTTTGTCTTATCCCTGAGGCTATTTCCTAATCTATAGAATATATCCATTAGTATCTAGTAACAAAGGTACTGTGAAAATGAAGTTAGATTACCTATATACAGTGCTTACTATTGTGCCTTTCACATAGTTTCCACTGAGAGAATGGTATTCTTCTCCTCCTGTAACTGAATCCTAAAAGCTACTAAGATCAATAGACTTGTTTTAGACATAACTGCTCATTTTCATGATCTTATTTAATGTAAGTGGCTGAGCATCACCTGGCTTTTGATCTTACTATGATTCAGAATTTGACAACCAACTCTATCTTTTCATAGCCGCCATCATGGTAGTTCACCAGTGATGACTTGGGAGATGCCTTATTTAGTGTGTCTGCACCTTTCCTTCACTGCTAACTAGTGTGTCTCTGCCTCTAGATGTCATTGTCCCTGAGAATGGAGAAACAGTGGGCACCAGAGAGATCAAATGCTGCATCCGGCAGATCCAAGAGCTCATCATCTCCAGGCTCAATCAGGCGGTGGCCAACAAGCTGATCAGCTCAGTGGATTACCTACGGGAAAGCTTTGTTGGGACCCTGGAACGGTGTCTGCAGAGCCTTGAAAAATCACAGGATGTCTCAGTTCATATTACCAGCAATTATCTCAAACAGGTATGAAAAGAATGGTTTCTAAGACACTGTGTTGCAGATAACAGCTAGAATAATTCACACACAAGCCCAACTTCACATTAGCCAAGGATTTCCCTTTGAAACAGTCTACTTGAAATTACATTTTGTTTTCCTACTATATGACTACTGCCTGGGGGAGGTGCGTATAAGTTGTAAATTTACAGTTGATAAAAATGAATAGAAGGCTAGGCGATGGTGGTGGTACACGCCTTTAATCCCAGTACTCAGAGGCAGAGGCAGATGATCTCTGAGTTAAGCCAGCCTAATCTACAGAGCTCCAAAGCTACACAGAGAAACCCTCTGTCAAAAATCAAAAAAAAAAAAAAAAAAGAAAGTAAAAGAGGTGATGAACTTTAGTTAACTCTGTATATGTTTAGGGATAAATTTGCAAGCCTTCAGATTGGACTGTAATTCTTTGGTTTGGGCAGGCAGAAGGTAGGAGTGATGCACATGTAGCCAAGACTGGCCTGGCTTTTAACTTGCTATTTTGGTCAAGGTTGGTCTTGAACTGTTATTCTTTTGCTCTGCCTCCCAAGTGCTGTGTCTGGCTCAGTGGGGTGTGTGTGTGTGTGTGTGTGTGTGTGTGTGTGTGTGTGTGACAGAGAGAGAGAGAGAGAGAGAGAGAGAGACAGACAGACAGACAGACAGACAGACAGAGACAGACAGACAGGGTCTTTTACTCTCTAGAACATTTGGCTGAGAACTTGCTATCTAGAACAGAGTGGCCTCAGAGAGACCCGCCTTACTCTTCCTCCCAGGTACAGGGATTAAAGGTATATACCACTACACCCAGCTTGGACTTGTTCTTGGAGTTGTTGAGAAATGACTCTCTGCATGTGTTCCTTCACGTGTTCTCTTTCAGATCTTAAATGCCGCTTATCATGTTGAAGTCACATTTCACTCTGGGTCCTCAGTTACAAGGATGCTTTGGGAACAAATCAAGCAGGTGAGTGTTCCTCAGAGAATTATTTCAATCCATATTGGGCTCACTTACATCTTAGACTCTCCAACAGAACAGATCGTAGAATACGCTGTTAAAGTAGGGTGGCCATTATTTGGTGGTTTGCCTCTCTGAAAGAATTCTGTTGTATGTTTGTTCTCAATGAATGACTACCAGTATTCCCTTTAAGCCCTAAAAAGCCATAGATTTATGTAATACTTGATGAAGCCACAAAGTTCCCCCTCACTAGTTGTATTGTCTTTCTTTATTCAGCCTAAATGTTTTCTCAGAAGTAGGTATTATTGGGTCTGGGGTTATAGCTTGGTGGTAGATGTTTTGCCTAAAATACAAAGGGTCACAGATTTGATTCCCTGGTACCAAAAGAGTACAAAAGTAAACAACAAAAATCTAGACATTGAGTCAGTCATAGTGGTGCACACCTTTAATCCCAGCATTGAGGAGGTAGAGGCAGGCAGATGAGGAGGTAGAGGCAGATAGAGTTGATGGCCTACCTGGGTTTACATAGTAAGTTTTAGGATAGCCAGGCCTATGTAGAAAGACCTGTCTCAAACAACACACACACACACACACACACACACACACTGTTGCCAGGGGCCAAGAGTGTGGTTCCTGTCTTAGACTTGCATCTATGTAGAGTTACTACTGCTTCAGAGGAGAGTTAATCCCTGGCCCTGAATAGAACATGTTGAGGGGTGTAAGCATTTCAATTAGGCTTACTGTTCTTTGGTGCTTTCCTCTGGATGAACCCTGGTTTTGAGGTAGATGGGTTCCATAGGCTCCTATGTCAAGGGCTGTTCCTGATGAGCAGGAGCCCAGTGAAGGAGAGGCATTGTTGGAGCTGCCTGGGAGTTCCTGCTTCCTTCAGTGACTTTCCTGTCCTCATCTCGGCAGATCATCCAGCGGATCACATGGGTGAGCCCACCTACCATCACTCTAGAGTGGAAGAGGAAGGTGGCCCAGGAAGCCATCGAGAGTCTCAGTGCCTCCAAGTTGGCCAAGAGCATTTGTAGCCAGTTCCGCACTCGGCTCAATTGTTCTCACGAGGCTTTTGCAGCCTCCTTGAGGCAGGTTGGTATGCAGGAAAGGAGCGAAAGCTGGAATAAGCAGAAAAGATACTCATCTAGAGGGAAGTAATTTGCTCTCTGCAATCCTTATAGTTTTAAAAAATCAGTGTATTTTTTATTCTGTTAAAGAATAATATGTTACAGGAAGTTTCATCACCAAATTTTTCATGTGGATCTTTTTATAACTCTGGGAAAATTAGAGTGAGTGCAGTTAATTTCTTCCCATATAACTGAATGAAAAAGAGCAGAGAGGAGTACTGACTTTATATAAGTTTATATCATATTTTATAATGAATGACAGAAGAATGACTTTCTAACAATACCAGATCACAATTATATGGTCCTCCTGAATGTGTGTGTGTGTGAGTGTGTGTGTGTGTGTGTGTGTGTGTGTGTGTGTGAGAGAGAGAGAGAGAGAGAGAGGATATGAATAGATGTGATTATGCTTCTAAGAGGAAAATGACTATTGACTATGCACTATCATTGTATTAAACATGTCATATATATATGCTGTTCAGTTCTCACAATTGTTGGCAGGAAAAATGTATAATTATTTCTATGAATCCGGTGGAGAATCTGAGGTGAGGGACTTGAGTTTTATGTTGTCTTTTTCTCCTAGCTGGAAGCTGGCCACTCTGGGCGGCTGGAGAAAACTGAAGATCTGTGGCTAAAGGTTCGAAAAGACCACGCCCCCCGTCTGGCCCGCCTTTCACTAGAGAGCAGGTCTTTACAGGACGTCTTGCTTCACCGTGAGTCCTTGTTTCTTTCCAAGTGAATTGGAGGGAATGCAGGGACCTCTAGCATTCCTTTACCAAGAATCCCATTGTCTCAGGCTGCTACTACCTTGCAAAGCTGCCCTAGCACTTAGTGATGCTTCTGAATTCCTATTTGGTTCTGCTGCTGGTTTAATATGAATAACAAGATCAAAGTTTATTCAAAATCATCCAGCTCAGTTACTTCCTGCTGGGTTAGAACAACACTTGAGTTTCTCCCCATTGCATGATTGCATGATTACCAACTTCTGGCCTCCAGGCAGGGTTGCACCTAAGAATCTTAAAAAGAATGCCTGGTAAGTTCCATTCCAGCTGCCTTATTGCTGTCTTTATATCTTATAGGTAAACCTAAATTAGGACAGGAACTAGGCCGGGGCCAGTATGGTGTAGTGTACCTGTGTGACAACTGGGGCGGACACTTCCCTTGTGCCCTCAAGTCAGTTGTTCCTCCTGATGAGAAGCACTGGAATGACCTGGCATTGGAGTTTCACTACATGAGGTAAGTCTTGGTTTCATTAATCTGGGGAAGACCCAGAGAAGCCAAAGGCTGGCTTTAGTTTTGTATCACAAGCTACAGCATATCTTGTCTCTGTATACCAAGATTTAACGACATTATAACTAGTGTTTGTAGGTTAGGCCAGAAATGCTGTCTTTGCTTAGTTTTCTCATATCACAATTTCTCAGCTCTTCATTCTGTTGTCTTTCTTGTCACTAAGGACTGCAAGTATTGATAGTCCATGGTTCTTTACTTGGCGGAGAAGTAGTTTTCTTTTCCTCTCTCTAGACTTGGACTATGTGTGACTGTGAGGTTCTTTCTTTCTACATCCTGGCATCTCTTGCAGAATTAGAGCCTGAGTGTGGTACCTTTCTCCTTCTCCTAGGTCTTTGCCAAAGCACGAGAGATTGGTGGATCTTCACGGTTCGGTCATTGATTACAACTACGGTGGTGGCTCCAGCATTGCGGTCCTGCTTATTATGGAACGGCTGCACCGGGACCTCTACACAGGGCTGAAGGTGAGGGAGGCAGCCGGGGACTAGAGCCAGCTGGGAACCGGTTTCTTCCTGAACTTCGTCCTTTCCTGCTGTTTCAGAACTTCTCACTTTCATAGAGATTGTTGGAGTAACCTCATTTACTTCATTATTTCCAGAAAAATGTCAGACATTTTTCAGAATTCACTTTTATCCCAGTATATTTCTGTAATGCTTTTATTCATTACTTTTTAAAAAATTGCTTATTTGGTTTTTTTGTTTTGTTTTGTTTTTTTTGCTGGTTTTGTTTTGTTTTGTTTTGTTTTGTTTTTTGAGACAGGCTCTCACTATGTAGCACTGGCTGGCCTGGAACTCTCCTGTGTAGATTAGGCTGGTCTCTCACTCACAAGAGATCCCTATGCCTCCTCCTCCAGTGCTACGATTAAAGCATGTGCCACCAGGCCCAGCTTATTTACCACTCTGATGTTCTGTGGTGTGAATGAAAATGTAGATTCTTTAGAAGAATGGAAAGCTTCTTATTATACTTTAGGATAAAGCCAGTTTTTGTTAAGTGAACAAGTATTTATTGATGACTATTTGTGCAAGGTTTGTATTAAGTACTATCAGATTATAGCAAGATGTGTAATTTCCAATCATGTTTAAGAAAATTGTAGTCAAAGAGAGAGAGGTGGGGTGGGGTCAGTCATGAAGTCATAAGATCTTGTTATGTGATCTTGATTTTTTTAAAAATTAAACTGGGGTGTACCACTGAAGAATGACATTTGAGTAAGGGTGAAACTCTCAGCTGAATGCTGAGTTTAAGCTCTCATCTAAAATATTCACAAATAAGGGAATTAGGTTTCTCTTGTCTGTCTCCTGCCTTGGAGCTGAACAGAAGGAGACAGAAGCTGACCTCAGAGGGTCTGGATTCCCCTATATGAGCTTACATGGAGACTTTCAGAAGTAAGGGAGAGAAATGCAGGAATCTTTTCAGGAGCCACAGAAATTGGTGAGATGAAGAGACTCCAAGTGGTTTCTCTTTATCTCAGGAGCACATGGGATTCTTTTATAAATGGGCTAGATCCATTTGAAGATCTTGGAGGAAATTAATAGGACAGTTTTCGAGTAACTTTAGAATTGGAGCCCATAAAATCAAACCTGGGCTAACCATGCCTGTGAAAGGAAATCTTCCATGAGACAGTGCCAGAGTCACCCAGATGCTGGGAGTGAGATGCTGCTGGACCTCGGACTTCCACTTCGGTCTGGGGTGGTCCTGCTGACCAACTGCAGCCTGCAATGGGCTTCCTTGTGCTTTGTGTTCTACCTGCCCCTCCCAGTCACTGTTCTGCCCTTCCGTGCCACCCTAAGTCATTTAGTCGCTCACAGTTGGTCTCAGTTGGGCTGAGGAGTTGGGCTGTTTTCCCTTCCCAGGCTGGGCTGACCCTGGAGACACGTTTGCAGATAGCTCTGGATGTGGTGGAGGGAATCCGCTTTCTGCACAGCCAGGGGCTTGTGCATCGGGATATCAAACTGAAGAACGTGCTGGTGAGTAAGAGCTCTATTCAGAGAGGGTCCCTGCCTCTGCAGAGGGTCTGTGTAAAAGGCCTTTGATTCTAGGGAGAGACTGCATGGAAAGCAGGAGCATTCCCAAGGTGGGTAGATGGTGTCCTGAATTTCAGCCTAAGGAGCATTTTCAACAGACTACCTGTGTCAAATACTTTTCCCTCCACTGTGGGAAATTTTCACTTCATAGAAAAGAGTGGGAAAGAGCGGCACTAAAAGCTGGCATAGCGGAAACCCAGCTGCCCTTGTGTCCTGTGCTCCTGCCAGGGTGCCCCACTCACAGTCATAGTTTCTGATCTCTTCCTGCACCACATGAAGGTAAGCTGCTGATAACAGTTCACTCCTAAGTATGTCAGTGTGTCTCTCCTAAGAAAAGTATCTTCTAAATAATTAAAATGACATTACCACACTCAAGAAATCTATCATTGATACACTACTGTTGTTAACACATACTCTGGGCTGGGTGGTGGTGGGGCAGGCCTTTAATCCCAGCAGCGACAGAGACAGGTGGATCTCTGTGAGTTCAAGGTCAGCCTGGTCTACAGAGCTAGTTCCAGGACAGGCACCAAAGCTACAGAGAAAGCCTGTCTTGACAAAACCAAAACCAAACAAACAAACAACAAAAACATATACTCTGTTATTGTCTCCATTATATCCTGTTGCTCCAAATATGGTCTGTTTGCTGTTTTTTATCTATCTATTTATTTATTTTGCCTAGGAGCTAATCTAAGGATGCTACAGTATATCTTGTTACATGCTATTTTAGCCTTCTTCAATCTAGAATAATCTTTGCCTTTTTATGTCATTGGCATATTTGAGGAGTCCAGGTCTTTGCTATTGTTTAGGGCTTGATCAGAGACACTAGATGAGAGCTAACATGCATAATGCACCTTAGAAGTCACATTGCATAAACCATAAGGAGTTTTTTGACAGACTCCTCTTGAAAACATCTATTACAGTCACCAAAATGGCTCAACAAGCTGTTGGTACCTGTTATTACATAGTGGAAGGAGAAAACAGACTCCTACAACTTGTCCTCTAATCTATACACACACAAAGTAAATAAATAAAATGTAATTACCTAGGAAAAAGTACCTTCCAGTATCACATGGCAACACCCTATAAGGTTGCAGTTTTAGGGAGAGAAAGATAACTCAAAAATTATTGATAGGAAGCTAAGAGACAATCAGTAGCCAAAGGGGACACATTTATTCTCTAGGATCAATTTCTGCTTATTTGTTTTTGTTGCTGTTCTTTCTCCTATGCTGGGGTAGAGCCAGTGTCTGTGCATGCTGATTCAGGTCTCTGCCACAAAGCCACACCCAGCCCTGGATTAGAGCTTCAAAAATTAAAAGAATTACTTCAGCTGACGAGAGGGAGGTCAGGTGCCAACATGTTTTCCTCATTTTACAGACCTTCATTACTCATTCTTCCAAGATTATAGTGATCCCAGTGTGGGGATATAAAGGTGAATTAACAGTCCTTGCTCACATTCGGGGAAGAGGACAGTGACAGGAACGAGTCTGATATAGTAAGGTTGGAGGAAGGACTTAGTAAGTACTGCTTTGGGACTGGGTGTGCGGACACAAGGTGACTCTGACCTGCTATTTTTGGCAGCTGGACAAACAAAACCGTGCCAAGATCACTGACTTAGGATTCTGCAAGCCAGAAGCTATGATGTCAGGCAGCATTGTTGGGACACCAATCCATATGGCCCCTGAACTTTTCACAGGTAAGACTAGAGGGCAAAGAGTGGGTTGTTTAGGTAGACCCCAGTACTCTGAGTTGGGGTGCTTCCCCTCAGGGTAAATAGTGTGGACAAGTACTGCTGGCAGGTGTGGCCCAGGTAATGAAGAAACCAGAACAGGGAGAGTGAAGAGGTAAAGAAGTGAGAAAGAACGGTGTAAATGAAAATGGGAGTTGCCAAGTGCTCTCTTGGATGTGTCTCTGGGCTGTTAGTGCCATAACTGCCATACTTAGCACTTACTTAGTCATAAAGTATTGGTTGAATAACTTCTAAATGATGGAACTTGTCATTAGAGAAATTATTATCAACATGGAGATATACTGAGAGAGGTAAAGTAATTTGGAAGGGATGTAAGACAGCATTAAATGCTAAATTACAGGTGCCGTGATTACTGGGATGCAGAGTGAAAGAATAAATTTAGGATGGTTTTATGGTAAAAGTGAGATTTGAGGTAATATTTGAGTCCAATCTAGAAAAATAGATAGTGGAAAGGGAACTCAGGTCTGAGTGTGCACTTTGTAGTAGCCAGGGCAGGTATGTTTCTCGAAATCTTGTTTTTTTTTGTTTGTTTGTTTGTTTTTGTTTTTTCGAGACAGGTTTCTCTGTGGCTTTGGAGCCTGTCCTGGAACTAGCTCTGTAGACCAGGCTGGTCTCAAATTCACAGAGATCCGCCTGCCTCTGCCTCCTGAGTGCTGGGATTAAAGGCGTGCGCCACCATCGCCCGGCCTCGAGATCTTGTTTTACTTAATCCCTTCGGCAAGCCTGTGATGTTGGTGTATTTTTATGTCAGATTTATAGGTAAACCGGGGCTGGATTGATGAAGTAACTGGCCCCAAACACTGAGGTAGAAGGCAATGAAACTGTGACTCAAACCTAGGCTTTTCTGCCTATACACTCCAATCATTAGGGCAGAAACATCTGGAGGCTGGAGAAGGGGAAATACCAAGGGAAATTGCAAAACAGAAATATTTATGGCAGGAAAGAAATCTATTTGGCAAGTGGTGACAGACAAGGCCAGAGAAGTCCATAGACTGCAAACCTGGGGGAGGGTTAGGGTCTTAAGTAAGTAAGTAAGTAAGTAAGTAAGTAAGTAAGTAAGTAAGTAAGGAGGTGCTGAGCTTTTGAGCAGTGGAGGGTGGCAAAGAACACATGCCTGGACCAGCTTCACAGCCATTGGTGGAAGAACACATGCCTGGACCAGCTTCACAGCCATTGGTGGAAGAACACATGCCTGGACCAGCTTCACAGCCATTGGTGGAAGGGATGTGAGGGTGAAGAATCAGTGTGAGATGACCAGTCAGGCAAAGATTTGTATCCATGGTTGGTTAATAAAGGTTGGTACTGATGCTGAAATAAACAGGGTTACAGATTTGAGATAAATTCAGAAGACAATGGGAAAGCTTTTTACTGCCTTGATGTGAGTGTTGGATAGAAAAGAATGGCTGTCATGGAACTTTGAAACTCTGAACCATAGTGGATGGAGGATGATGGTACTGTACCAAGGAAGATGGGAAAGAAATCATAGGTCAGTCACCAGTATTGAGATGAGGAATAATTAACAATGCATTTCTATTTCTTTTTTTAATATTTTATATATATGAATATTTTGCCCACATGTATGTATGTGTACCATGAGTGTGCCTGGTGCTCAAGGAGGTCAAAAGAGGTTGTTGAATGCTCTGGAACTGCAACCTCAGGTGTCTGTGAGCCATATGGATGCTAGGAATCAAACCCTGGGCCTCTGTAAGAACACCAAGTGCTCTAAACCACGGAGCTCTCTTTCTCTCCAGCCCCTAAATTTCATTCATTTCATAGAGGTTGTCACCTGGTTCTTCATTGGGTGGTACACAAGGACCAGGAACTAGTAAACAACTGAGTCTGGCCCACTGGAGCCAAATAGTAGACCCTTTTTCTTTTCCTAGGTTTACTTTGTTCTCTTCCTGCTGCTGTTACTCCGCCTTGCCTGCTGCTTATTTAAATTCCTTTTATTGTTATCTACCCTGTTGCTGTCAGAATACTATTAAAAAATATTTTCTTCTTTTGTATCCCTGCTCTAAAAAGAAAAAAAAAGACATGCTGCCCAACTCTTTACTCTTCTTTGCCTTTAAGATCTTCCTATGAGAGATGTGATCTTCCTGTGTATCCTAGACTGGTTTCAAATGATCCTCTGCCTTAACCTCTTGAGTGCTGGAATTACAGATGTGCACCATACCTGCTAATCTTTGTCTTTATAATCTTTATTTTCTGGTTCCCACCCATATTTCTCTAATATGACCCTTTAGAATTGATCTTGCAGACTGTCCCATTAAAATGATAAAAATCATTAAAATGATTTTCTCTTTTGACAAATTCTTATCTCTTGGCTGTCTTAGTAGCTAGCTTTCTATACTGTAAAATAGGCATTACAAATGTTCTGTGCCTACCAGGCAACTTGTGAAGACCAATAGATAGTAAAAAGCTTTAAGAATTGTGTAAGGATCTGTAGAAGCAAGGCAGTGGTTCACTGTTGCTCATCTGTCTTTACTGCAGGAAAGTACGATAATTCCGTGGACGTCTATGCTTTTGGAATCCTTTTCTGGTATATCTGCTCGGGCTCCGTCAAGCTCCCTGAGGCATTTGAGAGGTGTGCTAGCAAAGATCATCTCTGGAACAATGTGCGCAGAGGTAAGAGCCACCAAATGCTTTAACTCCCTCCTGACAGCACAGCAGGGCACACTCGTGCTCTGGCCCCTGCACAGCATGACAGCGTTAGGCAGACCATCCTAGAATGCAGAAAGGACACTGTAAACCAAACCTTTGCTACTGGACAGCACTATATTATCTCAAAAATGGTTTTTTTTAGTGTTGGATTTTCTAAGCCAGTGTTGGTTTTGCCATTCCTGTTAGGTTATAATCTAGTTATCTGCAGGAGGAACCTGAGCTCTCTGCTCTCTCAGCTCTCCTTGATTGGCTGTTTTCCTTGCTCTCCTCTAGGGACCCGTCCAGAGCGTCTTCCTGTGTTTGATGAGGAGTGCTGGCAGTTGATGGAAGCATGTTGGGATGGTGACCCCTCTAAGAGGCCTCTTCTGGGCATCGTCCAGCCTATGCTCCAAGGCATTATGGACCGGCTTTGCAAGTGCAGTTCTGAGCAACCAAACAGAGGACTAGACGACTCTACTTGAAGACCAAGACCTTTCTCTTTATTCTGTTCCTTCCTTCCCTCTCACCTTTAGGCCATGGGGAGAATTTGTCATTTGTTTATTAAGGGAGCTCCCAAGGGAATTGGTGCTTGTTGACAACTCAAGACCTTCCTGGGCAGAGATAACTCCTGGACCCTGAAGCATTCGGTGGCTGTTTTAGGATTCATACCGCCTCACACTATCTCTTTAGCAAAAGATTGTGTCAGATGTGTAAACGCTGAAGAATGTGATGTTCTGGCCTCAGAACTGAAAGGAGGCAACTGCTAGCACTGGCTATTCACGGTCTGTGTTTCTAAACCAGGTGGGACACTGCAGTGCAGGGGACTAAAGCTATCACTGTCATGACTTCAGCTCTAGGTCGGAACAGTTCAGTTACCCAGTGGTAGAGAGCACTTAGAAAACATGACATTAGTTCAGGACTGTATGATTATAAGGGCAAAACACAAACCATCCCAGCCAAATATACCTTGTGGTTGCCTGGTTCTTGTTCTCTGTAACCAGGATCTCAGGTTGTAAGTCAGAAGCCCCAGAAGGCAGCTGGGTGTGAAGCTGTCTGCCCTCACAACCCAGTGTTTACAATTCCAGGGCCAGGGAGCCCTGGTTTCTTCAGGGCAGGGCTAACCCAGAACAGAATCTCTTTGATCCTTGGGTTTTTCCCCACCTCCTACCCTCCTTTTCCCTCAAAAAGGGGAGACTACTCCAGATATCATGGTAGTTGGACTGAGTGTCTGATTAAAAATAGACTATAATTTTGTTGTTGTTTTAATGGGATATAAGCCCAGGCTGGCCTTAAAAATCTTATCCTTCTGCCTCATGCTCCAAAGTGCTGAGATTGCAGGTATATGCTGCCATGCCCAGCTTTTAACTGTACAGCTCCCTCTCTTTATCTCCTTCCTCAGTGCTGGGGGTCAGCCCCACAGCCACAGATCTGCTGGGAACTGCTCTCATGCTCACACGCCAGCTTCATAGAGCTTTCAAAGTTCACTTTACTACTGGGCCCCGTGAGCTGATGAGGATGCGGCTGAGCATACTGGTCTCCTACTACTACGGCTCTTCAGAAATGCCATGCAGTGCTTTCTCCATGCAAACTGTTAGACACGTGATAGGCCCGGTGTCTCTGGGTGTGTTGGCTCTAGCCTCACTTTGGTAGAATGCTTAGTTTAGCTCTCAGGATTTTCACATCTACTCAACTATACTTAGGTACTCTGCTCTGAGCATTAACTTGTCGTCCTCTGGAGACAGAAGGGTGTGCAGGAAGCCAGGTGTCAGGAAAGAAGGAATGAGCCATCTCTATGAGTTAGGTCTACTGTGGGAAACTTCACGAGGTCTGTGTGGTGGGAGGACTGCTGCCCCTTGTTCTGAGCTCTAATACAGAGACTGTAGTTCTAGCATGGACACCATATTCCTAACATTCTTTGCACATATTAGCTCAGACTCAGATGTGGGAGGTTAGATTTTGTTTTCCCCATCCAGAGTCCATTTTAAGTCTCTTGTCAGATTGTAGGTTCTTTTTTTTTTATATTTAATTTTTAAAAAGAAGATTCCCTCCATTTTTTCTGCCCAGTGGGAGGGATAGGCTAATGCTAAGGAGTTTTATAGTCATTCATAAAAAAGTATCTGAAAAAGTCCAAGATATTCTTGAAAGTGTCCGGCCGGGCAAGCCAAAGGCCACATGGGGGTATGTGGTGGTGGTATTTCAATACTCAGCTGGCTGAGTATGTGAACACATGTGTCTAATTTGTATGTATTTTACTTTATAACATTGTAAGCTAATTTTGGATTGTTTTTTGGCATCTGTTACTATTTTAGTGATAAAATGCCATGAAATGTACTGTACTGTATATTACTTGGGAAGACACTAGGTCCTCAGAGAAGTGTGGTGGCACTTAGCACAGGGCTTGATAGGGCCAAAGTTTTGAAGATTTACCTCCAGGCTAAGGGAGGAAGAAGGGTGGAATAAAGACTTACCTTCAAAAAAATTTCCATAGGGGGCAGTTTACTGTAGCCCTTAAGTGACCACCTGGATGCTTCTTAGGAGCTGAAAGCCTGGTTACTAATTTTGCTGTAGAATGGAGTGGCAGGCTCTCCTGCAGAGCAATCAGAAGAAATGTTGGCAGAGTATGGCCCCTGCACGGCTCTCCTGTGCCCTTGAGCACGCGGCAGCACAGCTGAGTTGCTTCTGACTGAGCAGTCTTCATTGCTCTCAGAAAGTGGACTGCTCTGGTTCTTCCCAGACCAAAGAGAGTCACTTCTGACTCCATCCACTCTAAGGGACAGGGCTAGGCAGCCACTGGGTCAAAATATTAACACTAAAGCTCAAGGAACCCGAGAAAGGGTGCATTACTACACAGTTAGAGCAGGAGCACAGTGAGCCGGACTCTGTCAGCTCCCAGTGCATTCCGTATTTTCGCTTGAGCTCTCAGACAGGTTAGAGCACTCAGGGCAGGCCTAGTTCAGTGGAGAATGCTTGGCACACACATGGCCTTGGGCTCAGTGTCCAGTACCAAAACAAAACACAGAGGTCAAAGAGGGCTGGAAAGTCAGTGTTCTTCCTGACAGAAGCGGCGCGGGCGGTAGGGCTGTGAAGTACCAGCTGCACTAAGTGACACTTTATTTTTGTTGTTGTTGTTGTCTTATTTAGCACTGAGAAGCCCAGGGGATGGGTCAGTACAGTCACACTTAGGGAAACTGAGGCACCCTCTGATCTTGCTCTGGAGAGATGCCCCACTTGTTTGATCTAGCCTACTGGGAGGCTTCCCGACCCCGTGTTGTGTCAGGATGGATTATAGCCTTGGGAAGTGCAGAGCTGTTGAAAGTGTTCAGAACGTGCATTTTGCATTTTCTGGGTCAAACCATCCACATTTTCCTTAAAAGAAAATGAGGATTTAGTCTTCTAGGTGCTGGGGTATGTGGGGTAGAGCTAGTGTGATATTAGAGCGGCCTTAAGGCACCCGCACTGCAGACTCCCCTAGAAGTTTCAGGTGGTACTGTTGCTCTTAGGAGCCGAACTCCATCTGCTCTGTTAGCGGCGCCTAGTGTGATCGACGTGGAGGAGACTGTGGGAACGCCTGACAGCTGGGGTTGCTGGGGAGGAAACTTAGTCTGGATGGCTTGCTGGGTTTTTTGTTTTATTTTTTATCTTTATGTAATATTTTTATTTGTTTTAAAGAACTAATGTCTATTACAGTATTATATAAAAGTGTAACATACTAAGTGTGTAGAATAAAGTGCAATAACAAAAACTACTTTGACACAAATCTCAGCCTCTGTACCCTCCTTTTCTTGCGCAGTGTGGCTCTTTTCATGGCAGTGTTAGAGTGGGACCGTGTTACATGTTTGTGCTTGCTTGTTTGTTTGTTTGTTTTGAGAGACATAGCCCTAGCTTTCATCTTCATTTGGTGTCGTTTGAATGGTTGTGCTGGGTTCTGTGGATCTTCTGTAAGCTGATAAGATGTGGGTGGCAGGTGTGCTGCATAGTAAAGACCACATTTGTGTTTCAGGGCTATCCGTTTGGCTTCAGCTTTTCCTCGCGCACAGGATGCTCCCAAGCCCTGCTCCCTCCATGACCTGATGTCCTTCCATTTTGGGAGACTGTTGGAATACTCCTGACTCTCAGCTTTATTGCCAGCCTCACACTTTTCTCCCTTGAGCTGGTTCTACACCTGTCTTCAGCTTTCCTTGGCAGGTATCCCACGACTCTGGAGTCTCTAACACAATCCAGGTTTTACCTTCACAGCTTCATACAGTGGCCTTTCTGGGCCTCCATGCAGGACACATACCTGGTTTCAGGAGCTTTCCTTGACTGTCAAGGGAGTCTCTCTCTCTCTCTCTCTCTCTCTCTCTCTCTCTCTCTCTCTCTCTCTCTCTCTCCTTCAC